GAGTGAGGATGTGTTGTATGGGTAGGTCAAAAATCGAATGGGTGCTGGCCATTGGCCTAATCATATCACCTGTGTTGGCTTTATGTTTTTGGTCAAACATTTATTTGTTTCACATTTGCATTGATGTAATCAATAATTTTTCTGATTTAATTTAATAAAAATAATAATAATTTTCGAAAAAAAAAACATATTTATTGGGGGTGCTTAGGGGGTGCTTTGGCAATCCTGGGGGGTGCTTCAGCACCCCCTAGCTCCCCCCTGGCGCCGCCCCTGCCCAGAAGAACCAGCATTTCAATTATTATAATACTACAAGTGAAAATATATGTAAGTATTGATCATTTGTGCTGTACTGTACGGTCTGTTTCTTTATTGTGTTAAGTGAGAAGTAAAGAAAATCTGTGCTATGAAAGTTAGCTTTTGCTAACTTTAGACCCATAACAATGCAAGCTAGTAGCCTAATAGCAGGGACAGTTAGCTACAAAGCGAGCAGTGAGTGAGCGTTCAGACACCGGCGCACACACTCAAACGGACTTGTGTGCCTGACAGGCTTTCATGATTCTGTTTAGATATGCAAGTATAAACCATGATAGCTTATTTTATTAACATGCTCATTTGATGTGAAAGTCAATGGAGGCTGAGTTAACTACTTCTTTTTGTAGGAAAACCTACCGTCCATGATGCCCCTGAGCTGTGTTTTATTTGTTAACTTCATATTTTTCATTTCCTAAAACATTTATGTTCCTCTCATATTAACAGTGTGGATCATTGAGACAGCGTGGTGTCCAGAGTCTTATCCCGTTTCCCACTTCCTCTGTATGGAAAGCCCAAGGTGCCACTATTCGCCCGTTTATTTCGCCCGTTTTTCGCGCGTAAAAAACGTTTTTTTTTAAATATGATAATGAGCCCCACCTTCTGTTTTGCATAGCCAGTAAGTTTAAAGTGTGTGCAACCAATCAGTGAAGAGATAAGCCAGACTAAAGCAATCTGTTGATGATAAGTTACTGTAACCTACCCCATTGTGAGATTTATATAGGTAGATAGATAGATAGATAGATAGGTAGATAGATAGATAGATAGATAGATAGAAAGAATAAAGAATAATCATAATATCCATCCATCCATCCATCTTCTCCCGCTTATCCGTGGTCGGGTCGCGGGGCCTTCGCCCTCATGCTCGGCCCCCTGAGTTCGCCCGTTGTGTTCTTCGCCCCTCCATGTTTATGTTTATGAAGGATCCCCATTAGCTTTTGCTCTCGACAAAAGCTACTCTTCCTGGGGTCCGACACTTAAAACAATACAACAATAATACAACAATAATACAGCAACATTTAGCTTACTGGCCGACGCCAGCTCCCCGAGTCCTGTCGGCGTACCGGCCGACTCCAGCACCTCGTCTCCTGTTGGCTCTCCAGCCAACGCCAGCTCTCCGAGTCCTGTCGGCGTACCGGTGGACACAAGTCCCCTCTCGAGTCTCTTCTCGAGTCCCCCTCTCGAGTCCCCTCTCGAGTCACCTCTCGAGTTCCCTCGCAAGTCTCTTTTCGAGTCACCTCTCGAGTCACCTCTCGAGTTCCCTCTCGAGTTCCATCTCAAGTCCCTACTCAAGTCCCTACTCTAGTCCCTACTCAAGTGCCGCTGGAGGTTCCGCTGGGGGTCCTGCCAACTCAATGTCCTGTACCGTTGGGGGTCCCGCCGACTACTCTTCTGCCGGGGGTCCTGCCAACCCTGTGTCCTGTCCCGTTGGGGGTCCCGCCGCTGACTCTTCTGCCGGGGGTCCTGCCAACCCTATGTCCTGTGCCGTTGGAGGTTCCACTGGGGGTCCTGCCAGTTCCATATCCTGTCCCGCCGACTACTCTTCTGTCGGGGGTTTTTGTAGCTTTTGTAGCTTTTGCTCTCGACAAAAGCTACTCTTCCTGGGGTCCGACACTTAAAACAATACAACAATAATACAGCAACATTTAGGATATAAGTCCTGACATCATTAACAACATTAAAAACATCACCAATATCATCAACAACATGCGATCAAATTAAATTAGGGCTCACAAGGGTACATGGTCATTAGTAGATGGCCCTTCAATCTCTTCTTGAAAGAGGCTCTGGACTCTATTTCAGTAAGGTAGTTTGGCAATGAGTTCCATTCCTTTATAGCTCTATAAGACACAGAAGAGTTCAGAAGATGTGTCCTGGGTTTAGGGGCCAGTAGATGGCCTGATGTAGCTTGTCTAGTCTTATGGTCATGCTCGTCTCTTGTGTAAACTATTTGATCATAAAAATACAGTGTTTTTTTGCTAAATTGGAATTTTTTTAGAAAAGTGATAACACGAGATTGCAGACGTTTCTCAACTGGAAGCCATGATAGGCTTCTATGCATAACTCCAATATGAGTGCGCTTCGAACAGTGGAGAGCTAGTCTGGCAGCCTTGTTTTGAGCTATTTGTAATTTCTGTAAATGTGTTTTTGCTGCTAATGACCATATGACCGGACAGTACTCAAGATGTGACAAAACCAGACTGAATGACTTGTTTCAAAGTGGTTGGTGTTACATACTTTGTACATTTTCTCACCACAGCTATGCTCCTTCCCATTTTAGTTACGATACTGTCAATTTGCTTTGTCCACCGTAAACCAGAATCAAGAACAATGCCAAGCAACTTAGTCTCGTTTACCTGTTCCACTGGCTGACCAGCCAGTGTCAGGCTTAATTGAGGATTGCTGCTTAACATATGTCTGGATCCGAACACCATTGCTTTTGTTTTTGCAATGTTGAGTACCAGTTTTTCTTTTATCCTTGGGTAATGGGATGACCTTGGCTTCCTTCCAGATCTCGGGGCACATGCCTTGCTCTAACTTTTATTAAAAATGTGACTCAATGGCTTGGATATGTATTTGGCCTTCATTTTGAGCAGTTTACCATCCAAGTTGTCAATCCCAGGTGATTTATCATCGGACAGATGTAAAAGCATATTTTCAACATATTCTTCTGTAACATTGTGGAATTCAAACATGCACTGCTTTTCCCTCATGATACAATCTTTAATGATGTGATGTGACACTGTGTCCTTGACTGCACCCATGGCATTCCTCAGCTTATCTACTTTATTTGTAAAATAATCATTAAAATGATTTGCAATATCTGCTGGCTTGGTAATGAATTTACCCTTGGTTTCTATAAAAGAAGGATGCATGTTTGAGTTCCTCCCCATTATGTTATTCAATATTTTCCATCATTTCTTTCCATCATTCGTAGAATCACTGATTTCCTGCATGTAGTATTCCCTCTTTCTACATTTATTCAATTTGGTTACCGCATTTCTTAGTTTACAGTAATGTTGTTTGTCACATAGAGAACCTGTTCTGTCTGCAGTTTTTTTAGCATCATCTCGTTGGACCATTAAACTTCTCATCTCGTCATTCAACCAAGGTGCACACTTTGACCGGGCAGACCATTTTCTCATAGGAACATGCTGATCGGCAATCCCCATGAAAGACTTCATAAATACTTCCAGTGCTTTTTCTGGGTTTTCCTCATGGCAAACATCAAACCATTGCACATTCTTTACCTCCTCTACAAATTGTTCCCGATTAAACCCCTTATAAGACCTTCTATAATTTATCTTGGAGCCAGCCTTAGGTATTTTGGTCTTGCGTACTGTGAAAGCCAACTGTGAGTGACAACACTTTAGTGCAGTGCTCTGGCCTGTTAGTATACAGTAGATGTGGTAAATGCAGGTCGTTGTAATAGCCCCATGTTTATTTGTAGCCCTTCTGGTTGGTGATGTTATTACCTGAGTCATGTTACACATTTTGGAAGCTAATGCAATCTTGTTCCACATGGGGCATTTCTCATTGAAGGCATTGATATTCAGGTCTCCCATGAAATATATTTCGCTATTACACTCAGCTGTATTATCTACCATTTCACAAATACCATATAGATAGTTTGAATTGGCACTCGGTGGCCTATAACAGCATCCAATTAATATGGGTTTTAAATGTGGCAATTGTATTTGTAACCATAAAGCTTCCATTTCATTAGGTTGTATCGTACTTTAGCTGGAATATGATTTTGTACATAGATCAAAACTCTGCCACCATTCTTATCTCTATCCTTTCTGAACAGATTGTAACCATGCATTGCAACCTCTGAATCATCAACAGATGAGTCCAGGTGTGATTCTGAGATAGCCAGTATGTGTATATTATTTGATTCTACCAAATGGCAGAGTTCATGCACCTTATTCCTCAAACTACACACATTCAAGTGAGCAAGGACTCAGCCTTGCCCCCGGGCCGTCCGCCCGAGACCCCCACAATGAACTCTGCCTTGCCCCCGGGCCGTCCGCCCGAGACCCCTCCTTGGTCTCTGCCTTGCCCCCGGGCCGTCCGCCCGAGCCCCCCTCCTTGGTCTCTGCCTTGCCCCCGGGTCTTCCGCCCGAGACCCCCTCCTTGGTCTCTGCCTTGCCCCCGGGCCGTCCGCCCTCCACCCGTCCTCCAGACCCCCTCCACCCACCCTTTCTTGGCCCTAGTTATGTGGGCTGTGATTTTAGTTTTTTAAGCAGAGGTCAATAATTTGTACGGCCCTCGGAGGATGTTGTAAAAATTGAAAGGAAAAAGGTTCCCCACCCCTGCTGTAAATAATAATAAAAACCCTTGATTTATAACTTAACATCTCTATCTCCTATTGATCTGAGTATGTTATAAAGAACAGTTAATTGAAGCCTTATAGCACAGGCCTTTGTCAGATGGTATATTACGCTGTTTTTTTTCTGCTTTGAATAGTTCTCTCTTTTTTCACCATACCTGTGTTTGCATCACTGGTTATGAGCAGAAATAGCATTAGGCCCCGTTTTCGCTAAGGGGTCATTTCTTGTGAGACTTGTGTTTTGTTTCCGTAAAAAATGGTTTCGTATCGTCAGTTAGCTGAGTTTCTTCCCGTTAGGTGGGTATGACACATTCATAGTTTGTTAAATGTTAAGAAGCACTGAGACACAGTTCCGTGGTTGAAAGAGAGAGGGTTTTATTTTCGGACACTTTGTGAGTCTCCTGACACACCAGGGACACATATATAGAAAAGACACAAAAAGTGCATTTTGCATAATAGGTGACCTTTAAAGTCAGTTTAGAAAACTAAATGAAATGTGCATGATTTATTTCTACCGACACCTTTTTGTCTTTAAAAGGGGCTGAAGAAATTCTAAATACAGTTTACATTCTGGGACTATTTTAAAGAGGACATATTCTGCTAATATTAGGGTTCCTATCAGTATGTAGTGTCTCTACCAGCCACATGTCTCCATGCTTTAATGTTCAAAAAGCTCTTTATTTTTCTCATACTGCCTGTGCTGCAGCACCTCCTTTTCACCCCTCTGTCTGAAACCAGAGCCCAGTCTGCTCTGATTAGTTAGCTGACCTGCTCTGTTGTGATTGGTCAAACCGCTTAGAGAGCCCCTTAGCCTATCACGTGCAATGTGTTGACACACCAGCCAATAGAGGCGCGTGTCAAGTGTTACATAATGATGTCACTATGTTGCTGAAGTAAACAAATGAGTGGAGGGAACACAGGGATTTTAGGGCAACTTTAACTTGGAATAATCCAAATATGTTTGCCCTATTGACTGTTTACCAAGTTTTGTCATTTAATAAAAAATATTCTGAAAAGAGTTGTAATCAGACCTGTGTGTGTGTGTGTGTGTGTGTGTGTGTGTGTGTGTGTGTGTGTGTGTGTGTGTGTGTGTGTGTGTGTGTGTGTGTGTGTGTGTGTGTGTGTGTTTGTGTGTTTGTGTGTGTGTGTGTGTGTGTGTGTGTGGAAACGCTAAATGATCCCCACTTAAGTAACAATAAGTGTGTTTCAGTGCTGCAGGGCGGGGAGGATGGTCCCCGCGCAGGGTCCGAAGCCCACCCTGTATCCATCTCCCTGACAGTAACCTAGACAGAGGAAAACATGGGACATTAGTATGATTGTAAACAAATTATTATGGATACGAGACAGTTACATCCTATCATTAGGGCTGGTCTGAAACCTGTTTACATGTCATTTTTTTTACAGTCAAACACAACTTTACATCCAATTCATTGTTAATATTTTCATTTTTAAAAGAAAGAAAAAAGGCCCCAGTTTTACATCACTTTGCAAGTATCTTAGCGGGGGGGGGGGTTGTTTGATTGATGACTGGGGCATGGAGATGGAATACACTAGCAACACCAGGAACTGTGGTTTGCATTAAAAGGACAGAACATGTTTTGTATGTGAGCTGTAGAAAGAAAAAAAACACAATTTACCAGAAAGTTAGTATTTTTGGGAATAAAATATCTTATTTGAAGATTAGAAAAGTAACAAGAAGGAGACGACAGGGATGGTAAATGACATGCTCAACAAAAAAATGCACTTCTTGCAGAATACAAGTAAATGCTGACTTGTAAAAAATGTAATTGCAGAGGACTGCTGCTGTAAATGCAGAAACCTTAAAGGCCGTGCATCGCAGTGGAAGCTTGACATTATCAGCTGAGAGCTGAATATATTTTCAGTACAGCTCGAGGTGAAATGCCTAATGAAAAGATTTATAATAACATAAGAAAGATAACCTGCATTACAAAAAAATGTTTGGAGAAAAACACAGAAAAAATGATCCGTGATCATGTCATAGAAATTGAATTTGAAAAATGAAGACATTTATAAGTCAGAGATGATGAATTATGAATTTGAGTTTAATTCCGCATTAAGCTGGACCACATGGGACTAAAAGTCAGGCTGACTCTTCCTCTTCCTCAATGCAAATATATGAAAAAGCATTTGGGCTAGACAGGTTTTACTATTACTACAATTGTTTTATTTTTTTACTACAAAATGTTATTCATATATTGTATTCAACACCAAAATGACCAATATTTTATCAATAATGAAATAAATTATGGTATTTTGTTGTTTTCCTTATTGATAATAACGTTTTTTTAAATGATAACCACCACTTGTTATCTGTGCTGAAGGCTGAGTCTGACCTTTGATGGTGACTTGATCTCCATCCCTCAGGAAAGTTCTGGTTTCTCCTCCCCCCAGATCAATGTTCTTAGAGCCCCTCCAGGACAGCTCCAGCATGGAGCCAAAGCTCTCTGGATCCTGATGGAACACAGAAGACACAGAATGAGCTCTGTATGCTAATTGCACATGTACAACACAAGGCTGAGAGGCATCTGGGGCAATAACACATCATCCACACAAGTCAGGTTTTAAAAATAGCTCATTTATTCTTGTGCCACCTGGTCAAAACTATATGTTGGCATATTCAATACAAGAGGTGGAGGTAAGAGGTTAAAAGAGACTGAACGACAATAAATAAAATCAATTAGATAAATTGTGCAAACCTCAGAATACACATGTATGCGTTTTGAGGGTAACTAGAGATCCCTAAAATCCACAGTTCACATAAAAAGATACACCGTTTAAAGAGAATCCATCCTATCTAGTGTTAAGGTGCACTCACAGGTCCACTGATGGTCCCCGAGGCCAGCAGGTCCCCTGGTCTCACGTTGCACCCGGGTCACTGTGTGATGGGTGAGCTGCTGCTTCATGGTCCAGTACATGTACTAGAGACAGAGGAAATATGAGCGAAGAGAGGCAGAGCGTGAGAACAAACATTTTGCTAAAACTGCAACAGGTATTTGAAAGCTGTTGGTTGTGTAGAGGTGTTGTTACTTATTAACCAGGAGTTATTGCAGTGATACAAAATTGACAAGCTAGGCATGGCCCCATTTTACCCAGTTCTGAAAATATTAGTGGGGACTTTAGCAGAGATTGTTGTTATGGATCCTCTTTACCTTTAAAGTTTGTCTTGCAGATGGTTGCTGCATCTGCCCATGTCCCTGTCCTACAAGAGCAAACTTATTTTAAAGGAGACATCCACTTTATCACATATAACAGAAGTTTTGACACCCCCATTCTGGGTTATATTTTCTGGGACACCTCTTCATTAATGCGTGTTTGTGCATTTCCAGCCTAATGAGTATAGGTCCTTTGCATGTGTGTATTTCAGGTGTTCTGTATGTACAGTAACAATGGAGTGAAAGCTGAATTTCCCCTTGTGGGATTAATAAAGTAAGTCTTAGATTTAGAGCAAAAGTAAAATTAGGACTTGACATGACCACGGTATATAGTTTTATTTAGCAAATGGCAGAAAGTACCTTGGTACATTACATCTTGAGGTACTTTTCTTCTACCTCATATTGTACCCCTCCAGCCAAAAAATGACATTTCCTTACAATGAAACTACATGTCTACCTACCAGTGGACAGGTCACTCCGAGGAAAGAAGTCGCGAAGACCAAAATGCAAAGCTCCAGACATTAGAAGACTGAAACGCTCTGTGTACTGTACCTTTAAGTGACACAGATAGGTTAATGTTGAAGGTGAAGGGGTCCGGGTGCTGCAGGTAAGGGGAGGGGCTCTGGATCCTGCAGAAGAGAGGAGCAACAGGGAGAAAGTAGAAAAAGTGAGGAGGGGGAGGCCTTCATTATGGTATGGTCAGTTCCTTTAAATAAAGCAGTGATCTGTCCTACCTGTCCTGTGAAAATGACTGAGGAAACAAACCATGGTTTTATATACGCCAAAAACAAAATTATGTTATTCTCTTTTTTTTTTAACTTAATTTATTATTGAAACTATTTTGCTCCAAATTTTCCAACCTTTCCTCTCCCTCGCGTGTTAAGGCCCCTGACACCAGTGGCGACTGGTCATTAGGGGCAGGTACCCACCTAGTGTCAGCAGCAGTGGTGTAGTGGGGATTTTTTTACTGGGTGGACGGGGCGGGGGGAGACACTATGGACGCGCTCGTGAACTGTCAACGGGGGGGGGGGGGGGGGGGGGGGTACACTGTGTGTAATTTTAATAATAAAAAAATCGCGGTGCCCGGCCGTCAGCGAACCGATCCGGCCTTCTGCGCGACTGTCACTCAATGCGGGACATAGTCTCAACTTTGTGGACGCGGGACAAATAATAAAATGCTGTGTGTGCATACCTGGTCACCACACACACACACACACACACACCAAATCAAGTTGCATAAATGCTTTGAGCTACGTTTTTATTATATTACTGTGAAATCTGCCTATTATGTTTTTCGTCATTATTACAACAAATACACACTTGCAATTGATAACACTGGCAATGGTTTTATTAGACTATTAAAAACAAATATCATGCTTCAAATAAGTGGGGGTACGGCGTACCCCCGCGTCCAACGCCCACTACACCACTGGTCAGCAGAAAGTATTAAAATAATAATTACAAAAAAATGCAAAAAATAATACATCTTAAAATATATTTTAAGATCATGTTTAATCATCTGATTCGTTGCTGTTTTAGACTGTGTTCTTCTAATTAGTTTCTACAGTGTGTGCTTATTGAGTCGTTTTGAGCCATGTGGGGGCAAGCCCCAATCTAGCCCCTCCCTCTCACTGTCTAAGTGAACGTGTACTGTAAAAACTACACTGCACATGCTCAGAGTCTTTTTCTATTCAATGTGTGTTTGTTAATGTGTGGTGTGTTGAGAGGTGGGGGAGTTAGTGTAAGTCCTGGGGTACCCTGTACATTTCTCATCACGTAGATAACTAATGTTTAGACACACTAGATTAGCGGATTGTTGCCACCCCTGTATTTGTTTTTCAGCCAGCTCTGAGTAGTTTAGGTTAGTGCGGGTTTTTGTTGAGTTTTGGTTTCAAAGGATAGATGGTAGAGATAGGCCTGGTTTTGTTATGCTTGTTTCTTTTGTTTTGCTCAATCTCCTTGACTCCTCCTCACACAAAGCTATTTCTGTTAAACTTATGTTCAATGAGGGCTTAAGAAATAAACCTTTTGACAACCTTTACTCTGACTCCCTCATAATTATTGGTTGTTGTATGTTATTGTCTCCAGGTCCTCTAGACCTTAGTGGGGACGTAACACCCGCGAAAAGTGTAGTGTGTGAAAGAGGAGAACGAGGAGAGTGGTGGGCCCAATCCCAAACCACGCCACGCCCTAACACACTACCCTCCGTTCTGCGCGGAAGTCCGCCCACATTAAGTGCTGTTTCCAAACCAACGAGTGTGGAGGGGCAGTGGGCTATCAAGCCACCAAACAGCAAGTCTACATAGTTCATACTGGGTAGTTTATTTAGTTTATAAAAAAAAATATCCGCTGATTTACAGACGTTTCTTTCCCAATGTTAGTCAATTGGGGAAAAGTCCTTTTCTCTGGGCCCAATGACGTCACGGACTGATATGGAAATTGTAGTACCGCCATTTGGACACACGAATATATTTATCAGAGTCCGGCGCACTTCCTGGGGGCTTGGTGCTGACTGGAAAACCCGGCTCTACCTGACCGGAGTCAACGCTGTGTGGTGTCCGTCAGGAAAACACGCCGTTTACAAATAGTTCCAGAAAACATCCACTGATAAACTTGCGATGTTAACAACCTCATGATAACCTCTTTTTTTTTTTAACACCCCCCAGGATAGCCATTGCACCCCCTAAGCACCCCCAAGAAATGTATGTGTTCATAATTTGAAAAAGGATTGATTTGAAAATAATATGCTACAGTACTAGTAGCCTAACTTCTGGGTCTCTGTGTTTCATTCAAGCTCTGCTCTGTGTGTGTGTGGCACAAGCCATTTGTGTGCGTTCGCGAGGGAGAGAAAGAGAGCGCGCACTGGTACCAGGAGATCGTTGTGGTTAGCATCTGGTGCTAGCTACACTAACGGATATAATGAGCTTTTTCAACAACAAGGTGGAGGGAGAACTCTCTTCTGTCAGACTGAGAGTCTCAGATAACCTCATCTCAGGTGAAGTAAAGGACTCTGTGTTTAGATAGTTAACTTTAGTCTAAGTTATCTCACTGGGTCTGAGGTTTGGTCACAATTAATGTAATAAGTATTTCTGAGGCACACAAACGTGTGCCTCAGAAATAATATATGATCATTATAAGTATAAAAAAACAAGAGCATAAATTAAAAACAGGTATGAAATACTATATGACAGTAAAACAAGAATACAGTTTAAAAGGAGTGATTTGTAAAATATCCATAAAGAAATAGAACATCTGTTTACAGTTCTGTTGAGAGGTATCCATAGATCTCTTGATTTTGCTCTCAAAGTAAAAATCTTCCCGGGGGAGCATGCCCCCGGACCCCCCTAGAGAAGTGGTTCCCAGCCTGGGGGGCGCCAAAGATCGCAGGGGGGGCGCCAAGCCTCAGATGATTTGAGGCCAAATATCATATTTAGACTTTTTTTTTTTCTTTTTTTTTTTTCCTTTCAAACAAATCATGTAAAGCAATACATGATTGTCACTAAAAAGCCCTCGCTCTCTACATTACAATAAAACACGAAAAATAATTGATTTATTCATTTGAATAAAAATTCAAGTTAGTAGCTAATAAAAGGCATAAGACAAATGTATAATTCTTTCTTTAATGAGAAATGTTATTCTTCTTCCCGTAAAGTGTCCAAACCAGGCTTTTCTGGATAAGCGCATCTTTAAAAAACATAGTCATTGTCCATGCCGGTTTCAGTTGGATTATTTGTCACAGTTGCTCCGATCAGATCGTTCTCCTCCATTTTGTAGATTATTTACGACTTTTGAATCCACATAAACACATCGGCAAAATCCGGCTTACTTTAAGCGTGTGTTTTAAAAGTTTAATCCCTTTGTGAATTGTTTCCACTTCCGCGCCGTCCTTTAATTTCTTCATACAGCGGGAATCCAAATGAATGAATCCTGAGTCCAATAACCATCAAAGTCACTCCAATAGTGCTCCTTAATTACGCTTTCATCCTCCTTTAACACAATACTACACATTCATCCAGTTTGTGACAGTAGTTGTAGCATTTTGAGACTTTTAAACTTGAATTACCGCTGTGTGTGTGTGTGTGTGTGTGTGTGTGTGTGTGTGTGTGTGTGTGTGTGTGTGTGTGTGTGTGTGTGTGTGTGTGGTGTGTGTGTGTGTGTGTGGTGTGTGTGTCGCAACTTCCAACCGGAGTCATTTGGGGGGGGCTCTTGGGAAAAAAGGTTGGGAACCACTGCCGTAGAGGATGTTAGGTCCACCCCCCACTTGTAAAAACACAATTAAGATGTTTGGAGTTTTAATGTAGTTATTAATTTTTTGTCTAGGACATGCTGATTTGAAACCGTTGTTACATACAGTTACGGCATTTCCCGTTTCTGCCGGAGAGAGGGGAGTTTGTCCCAAAGTTTGCCACTGTATTTACTCCCTCCATCTGACAGGAGGGAGCCTCGTTGAGCTGCGAGTGTCACTCCACGGAGTTCACTCCGTCACGGAGGGGAGTGTGTAGGGGTAGGGCGTAGGGCGTGGTTTGGGATTGGGCCGTGCAGTGACGCATCCTAAAACCCGGAAGTAAGCTGCGCACGGGTTCCCTCGACAAAAAAGCAATGAGATTTCTCCATAGGATTTTAGAAAATAGCTCGAAATAAGGTCTGTGGAAAACGTTTTTGTTCTGCCGGATAATATCCAGATGTCTACCCTACTTTTATAATTTTCGAATCATAAATCTAATCAATTAAATGCATGAATCGACTTTGAAACTAGAGGAAGATAAGGAGGACTCTACAAAAAAGTAATAGAGATTTTTTGTCCAGAAGGATAGGCAAATGGATTTAATCTTCAAGTCAAGGTAAAACCACAATTTTATTGAAAATGGGATCTTACTAAGAGAGAACAATCCAATATTGAAATGATAAAATTACATTTGTTGGGTATCCTTTTGTTGAAGTGTCTGTTTAAAATTAATCGAAAGCATCAGACTAAAAAAGCTTTTGAAAATAATAGATTTATTTTGCCGACAGTCTCCCGATGTGGAATCGGGAATCGGAAGGTGTCGGCACGGCCGAAAAGACACGACGGTGCTGGACACACCAATCTGAGTAGGGCGACAGGACGTTCTTTCGACGGCCAGACATCTTTCGACGGCTCAAATCGGCCCGGTGTGTCCGGGCCTTTAGAGATCACAGAAATGTAAACTTTGAATGAGCAGCAAATATTTCTGAAACCGTATGAGCTAATAAAGTCCAGGGGTTTATAATAAATAAATCATGCCTACTAGTGTGCTGACTCAGCAGAAATACAATTAAATTAAAAAAAGAAGTTGATGTACAGTACAGGGGCATAGGCCTACATATTTGAAAGCATTACAGAATTCCTGAAAGCCGTTGCACATTTTAGATTTTGAATTGAAAACCTAGAGCCTGAATTTTTTGTTTTTCCTTGAAATAAATAAAGTCTTTGACACCATAAATTGTCCAAAGGCATATATGTTCATAAGGAGAGTCAACCCCAGCGTTGAAACACACCGACTCCCTTGCCTTGATGTCACCTTTCTACACCTTGGCTGACACAATGCCCCAGCTTTAATAAAGAAAGCCCCAATATCTGATGTTGGTCCAGAGAGGCAAACCAAATGTC